CAGAGGGACACACAGGAGCACTTGCCACCTCCCTGACATCACCCACTACAGAGGGACACACAGGAGCACCTGGCCACCTCCCTGACATCACCCACTATAGAGGGACACACAGGAGCACCCGGCCACCTCCCTGACATCACCCACTACAGAGGGACACACAGGAGCACCCGGCCACCTCCCTGACATTACCCACTACAGAGGGACACACAAGAGCACTGGGTCACCTCCCTGACATCACCCACTGCAGAGGGACACACAGGAGCAGCCGGCCACCTCCCTGACATCACCCACTGCAGAGGGTCACACAGGAGCACCCAGTCACGTCCCTGACATTATCCACTGCAGAGGGTCACACAGGAGCACCCGGCCACCTCCCTGACATCACCCACTGCAGAGGGTCACACAAGAGCACACAGAGACCTCCCTGACATCACCCACTGCACAGGGTCACAAAGGAGCACCTGGCCACCTCACTGACATCACCAACTGCAGAGGGTCAGACAGAAGCAGCCAGTAATCTCCCTGACATCACCAACTTGGTGCCTTTCCTTCTGGTCTTGTAGGCAATGCCATGTCCCTCAACTTCTGTTTGGAAAGGAAACTGCTTTCATTTTTGCTGTTAGCAGGAGGCAGGGCCCCCCAGACTCCCCTAGGATTAATGGACGGAGCCAGTGTGTTAATACTCAGCCTCGGCATGGCCTGGAGGTTGGCCAGACATGCAGTCTCTCAGCTCCCACTCAGACCCACCAAATCTAAATCTGCATGTTCAGGAGATTGCCAGGTGATTCCCATGAACACTTGGGATTGAGAAGTACCAATCTAAAATTAAATATTAATTTTGTAAAACTTCAGCTCCAAACAAACCCATGTATGTATTCTAAATGGTGAAGGAAAAAGGTCAAAGAGCCTGATGAGGCCGGGCACGCCAGCTCACGCCTATAATCCCAGCACTTTGGGAGGCTGAGGCGGGCGGATCACCTGAGGTCAGGAGTTCAAGACCAGCCTGGCCAACACGGTGAAACCCCATCTCTACTAAAAACACAAAAATTAGCCAGGTGTGGCGGCCTGTGCCTATAATCCCAGCTACTCGAGAGACTGAGACAGGAAAATTGTTTGAACCTGGGAGGCGGAGGTTTGTTTGAACCTCGGAGTGAGCCGAGATCGCACCACTGAACTCCAACCTAAGCAACAGTGCAAGACTCCGTCTCAAAAAAAAAAAAAAAAGAGCCTGATGAGATGCCTGTAAGTGCAGAACTTGTGGGTAAATCCAGATTTATCTTTCTTTCACTCTCTGTAACCCCAGGAGCACTGAGAACTCAATTATTAGCTGAATCTGTCTACAGCTGACAGATACAAGGAAAATGCATCTCAGACTGCCCAGTTAAGTGCTTTGCTAATTAAAAAACCTGGCTGGGTGAAGGCTGGGAAGGAGGCATTCACACAATAAAGAATAAAAGCACAGTCTGTCTCATTAACAATCATTATTTCGGGATGGATGCAGCGGCTCAAGCCTGTCATCCCAGCACTTTGGGAGGCCGAGGCAGGTGGATCACTTGAGCCCAGGAGTTCAAGACCAGCCTGGGCCACACAGCAAAACCCGTCTCTACTAAAAATACAAAACGTGAGAAGGGCGTGGTGGTGTGCACCTGTAATCCCAGCTACTTGTGAGGCTGAGGTGAGAGGATGGCTTGAACCTGGGAGGCAGGGGCTGCAGTGAGCAGAGATCGCACCACTGTACACCAGCCTGGACGACACAGTGAGACCCTGACTTAAAAATACACATATAGGCCAGGCACAGTGGATCACGCCTGTAATCCTAGCACTTTGAGAGGCCAAGGTGGGTGGATCATGAGGTCAGAAGTTCAAGACCGGCCTGACCAACATGGTGAAACCTCATCTCTACTAAAAATATAAAAGTTAGCCGGGCACAGTGGCAGGCACCTATAACCCCAGCTACTCGGGAGGCTGGGGCAGAAGAACTGCTTGAACCCAGGCGACAGAGGTTGCAGTGAGCCAAGACTGCACCACTGCACTCCAGCCTGGGCGATAGAGTGAGACTGTCTTTAAAAAAAAATGAAAAAAAAAATTTTTCTGAAAAACACCATGATTAGTACTCTAAGTCCTGGTTTACAACACTCTCAGGAAACTAATTTTCTCACCTAGAAGGTAATACCCATTCAGCCCACACTATTATGACTCTTTACATACATTACCTATACATGCTCCCAACAATTATATGGACAAAGCTTTACCATCCCCACTTTGCAGGAGAGAAAACTAAGGCCCAATGACTTTGAGTGATGAAACTGAGGATCACTCTCAAGTCTTTCACAGTAAACCTTTGGGATAAGATTTTGGTGAAGTCATTTGAGAGGCTGTACTCCATGTCCCAACCATATTAGAACCCACCATGCCAGCAGTGAGAAGCAGCTGTCTTACTAAGACAGTATTTATTATTATTATTTTATTTATTTATTTTTTGAGACAGAATCTCACTCTGTTGCCAAGGCTGGAGTGCAATGGTGCCATCTCGGCTCATTGCAACCTCTGCCTTGCGGGTTCAAACAATTCTCCTGCCTCAGCCTCCCCAGCAACTGGGATCACAGGTGTGTGCCACCACACCTGGCTGACTTTTCTATTTTTAGTAGAGATGGGGTTTTACCATGTTGGCCAGGCTGTTCTCGAACTCCTGACTCAGGTGATCCGCCTGCCTTGGCCTCCCAAAGTGCTAGGATTACAGGCATGAGCCACCACACCCGGCCCCGCAATTCTTATGTTTAAAAAGTGGCATAGAATTGACACCGTGACAATTCTAAGATGTTGAGGACCACGAATATTCATGGAAATAATGATGCCCTTCTTAAAGGAAAGCCAGAGGTGCGGTGAGCCTGGGGAGCAGGTGTCCAGGAGCCGCACGGAGCCAGGGCTGGAGCACCTACCTTGGATTCCATAGAGCCGGTTAAGGCGCGACCGCCGGGCCTCGTCGGTGTAGGGGACGGCCAGCCAGGGCATCTCACTGAAGTACTGTTTGAAGGACTCCTCCGACCTACAGAGAGACACATGTGGCAGGCAGGGCTCTATGATCATCCCACCTGCACCACCACTGAGTCCTCCCCACCCGGACCACCGCCATGTCCTCCCCGCCTGCACCACTAAGTCCTCCCCACCCGGACCACTGCCATGTCCTCCCCGCCTGTACCACCGCCAAGTCCTCCCCACCCGGACCACCGCCGAGTCCTCCCCACCCGGACCACCGCCATGTCCTCCCCACCCGGACCACCGCCGAGTCCTCCCACCTGCACCACCGCCGAGTCCTCCCCACCCGGACCACCGCCGAGTCCTCCCGCCCGCACCACCGCCGAGTCCTCCCCGCCCGCACCACCGCCGAG